ATGCATATAATTCAATACAAATATTTTATAATGAAGAGAGTGAAAAGATTCTGGAAAATTTTATATACATTTACTTGTAAATACTTTATATAGATAATTCTTATAAAATAAAAAGAATAGGAATATGTAACATTACTGCCCATTGTCAGTTTTAGAGCTCATTTTGCCAGACGCCAGACGAAAAAATTAATTATTGCAAAATTGCAAACAGTATTATAAAAACTGTGTATATTATCTGATAGAAGACATTTTTCAGTTTGTACTTATATTCTTAAAGTTTTATTTTTACTTATTTTTTAAGAAATATTGTCTAAAAACAAATTAGTATGTCGGTATCGGCGACTTTCCTCTATAAGTGCGTCTTCTTGTTATTTAATACTTTTTCGACAGTGTATATTTCAAGCATGGCATTTTGCTAATGTAGCCTTCTAAGTGTATTGATCTTTGACTATATGTACAATAAGTATAAATAAGTGTATAGACTGATAGTTGCTGTATTCACATTGATTATGAAAAAGTGATGACTGAAGTAAAAAGACATCACTAATCAAGAACTAAAAATTAAGTACAGTCTGTGTATATTTGTTAATATTCTAATTAAAGTTATAAAAGTGACTGTAAAAGTTACTGTAAAAGAAACTTTGAAAAAAATCAATCAATTTATATATTTCTTTAAAGAATTAATATGTTTGATTTTATTATAGATATAAAAAGTTGTAATAACACGTGTTACATAAATAAAAAAACGATCACGATGAATAAGTTTTTTAAATATGTTGATATGGGAAATTAATTAAAAGATTAAGTTATTCTATTTAGGAATATATTATAATAATAATATTAAGAGAGGAGAATGGAGAAACTCTACGAACACTTAAGGGAAAAGTTAAATAACAACGATTATTTATCAAATAGTAGATATCGTCGTAAAAATTTGCGTACCACGTCGGAATTTTTATTAAACAAATGCATAAAATGTATTAGTACGAGGCACATTTTACATTCTTATTATTGTCAAATTTGCTTAAGCTTCCGAAATCGTTTCATAACTAGAGGAAAGTCGCCGATATCGACATACCATTTTGTTTTTAGACAATATTTCTTAAACAAATGGTAAAAATAAAACTTTAAAAACATAAGTACAAACTAAAAAGTGTCTTCCATCAGATAGTATAAGCAGTTTTTATAATACTGTTTGCAATTTTGCAATAATTAATTTTTTCATAACGTAAGCAAAAATGAGCGTTTGACAAAATGGGCTCAAAAATTGGTACAGTAGGCAGTAATGCTATATATGCCTATTTTTTTTCTTTTACAGGAATTATCTGCATAGAATACTTACAAATAAATATATATATGGTAAGATATTCTAGAATCTTTTCACTCTCTTCATTATAAAATATTTGTATTGAATTATATGCATTTTTACTTCATGCTGTTCTGCAAGATGCAAATATGTATCGCGATAGTTTTTCAAGAGTTATTCTATATATGCACGATTGTCTTCTACTCCAATATTTGACACTATAAAGCAACATTATAAAGAACAAGTTAGCTCATAATCTGATTTACAGATAGGTGGCAATTTACGCTGCATTTTATATTTAAAATCGTATTATGAAAAAATTAAGAGAAAAAATAATATAAATAAAACTGATTTAGGAAACTACAAGCATTTAGAATAACGTAATATTATCAATAATATAGTCACTGTTATTTAAACGTTATTTATGCAATTTACAAAGGAAAATTGTAAAAATTTTATTTTCACAATCATAGAATTCGTTTTTATTTGATATAGAAATAAGCTACAATAAGTATACGAATTATGAGTTTGTACTTCAATTAACTAAATATGATTTTATTAATATTAATATTAATAAAGTGCAATTGTTAGTTTCTGAGAAATAAGAGGGTGTCGCTTTAGAAGACCTATGTCAGTGTATATCGATGACTTTCTTACTTTAATAGATTTAAAATATTCTACTTATTGCATAAATATATTTTAGTATCGAACAATACTAAAATATAATACGAACTATAAATTGAACAATAATTATTAATTAATACTTTATTATAATATTTTTATTTTGCATTTTTTTGCGTATTTAACACTTTAAATATCAAAATCTCGAGATATCGACCTAGCGACAATGTAGTGCGCATGTCATCACCTTAATATAGAAGTGATCTTCACGTTATACATTTTATTATATTTTATATGAATATAATCATAACCAAAACCAAGTACATATTCGGCTTGAAGATTCAAGAAATTATCCCATTTTAGTGCACGATGCTTATCGGTAAGTTTTTATCTGAATGTTCTTAAAGAATGTAAGGTCAATTGTCTTGAATAATCTCATAATTTATCTTGACTTCCAATCACTATTGATTATTCAATTGATGTTATTCAACATTAAACATTAATAAAGTATTAAAATGTGATATTGAGAGCGAGATATTATAATTAAGTCTAAATCTGTATACAGAAGTCTATAGATATATCATACTTCGATATATTATTTTTTGTATTAAGTAAAAAACATTTTTTTTTTTAAATTGTATAATCCTTGTAATAATTGATATAATGATAAGGATAATAATATTATTAGATATTAATATTAAAAGGATAATGATATTATTAGATATTAATATTAAAAATAATATTAATATTAAAAAGGAGGATACTTTTTTGCAATTGTTTTGTTTCTACTGAGAATCGTTTTATTTCTCTATTTTTTAATATTTTCTTTCCTCCTTTATATTATGATAAATCATTTTTTAATTATTGATAAATATTTATTAATTGATAAAATTATGATTAAATACACATGTGAGGCTTATTAAAAATGGAAATTTCTCGCTATCAATAAGCAATATTTCTAGATATTTTAAGATAAATGTACAGTATATAATTTGCGCAATTGTTGTGGTAATGACTTTAGGACACGTGTAATATATACATGCAAACGCAACCTATTTGCACGCCACGTCAATTACAGCCCCATCGCGTGTAATTGTATCTCGTCAAAACAACTTTTTTCTTTATATACCTCTTCCGGTATGTGCAACAATGATGAGTAATAAACGGTGTACTTGCGGTAGTTGCAATGCGTCCGTGACAATTCGACATTGCAAAATAATGTCATGTACAAAGGTATCTGCGTCAAGTAGTGACAAGCAGTGGAATAAAAGAATATCATTCCAATTGTTAATTTTAAACAATTACTATTTATTTACACAGGAATCTTGTTTTTTTCAGTTAAATACACATAAAAAATGTTACACGTACCTAGTTGTAGATAAATTTTACATGTAGGAACAATATACATAAAATTATATTAAATGCCATAAATTTTCCAGAATGTTTTTAGTTAATTTAATTTAATGATTAATTTAAAAAATTATTTCGTCGATGGAGTGATAATACACTCTCTCTGAACGTATCTAATTATGTTTGAACTTTTTAGGTACGTTTCGTAGCTATTATTTTACACGCGAGACACTTAGAGGGAGAAAAAATAACTTAACAAAATGGAATTATTCATAAAATAAAAATAGGCGCGGCGTCGTGCAACCATTGAATGACAGAAAACGGCCTGGTTTACCGCAAAAGAGTACGTTGCACCTGCGAATGGAAGGTAAAGTTCGGTTATGGCGTAGCTTTCACGCTGGCCATCTTTGAGGCGAAGCGTCTCCTCGTGATCGCCTTGGAGATATTTGCAGAATGGCAGGTGATCCGTATCGCAGGTGGTTTCCAGCCGGTCGCCCTTACCTTGATAGACATAGCTCTAGGATTGCCGTGCGCCCTTATCATCGTTTACGCTATACGCAGGTAATGCTTGTCTCGCAAGGATGAATGAGTAAGTGAGACGTACACTTGAAGATATATAACATTTATTAATAAAATTATTAATTAAAAAATCTTTATGTATATAATATATAATTGTTTTCCCTATGATAATATATCTCTACGATAGTATATAATTGATCTTTCTTTGACTAGCAAGTCAAAAATAATACATAAAAAGCAGGTTATAATTAAAATATAGATATCTTTGATTTATATTGAAGATGAATCAATCAAAAAAACAATTATGCATTATAATGGTTTATTATAATAATTATT